ATATGCTCCGTTAAATCATGTCGAAGTGAGTGATGCACCGATGAATCACGTAGTTCAGAGTTCATCTGAATCTGATATTGAATTTCTACGGTAGGTCCTCGCTGCACACGTATTGAAGGATCAACATCATCATACCAATTAGAGATTGCACTTCCTTCATCCTCTACAATCATATTATGTAATATGATGCATGCATACATTATATCTTTTATATTTTTGAGTTGCCAAGATCTTGCTGGACCTCGTACAATTGCCCAACGAGATTGGAGGACACCAAAGGCTCTCTCCACATCCTTCCTTGCATTTTATAGTTTTAAATTATTTGGTGTTTAAGCATTTCATATTCTAGCTTTGGTACTTTTCAACTGATGTATTTTAGTCTCGTACTTTTTATTAAATGTATTTTAATTTCGTTTCATTTTCATTTTAATGTATTATTCCTTGTTTTTAGTAGATTTTTAAATTTGTTGGTAAAATTATATTTATAGATAATATATATATATATATATATATATATATGATGTGGAAATCCATTAAACTCATTGAAGTGTTATGGAGTGTGGGTATAAAATGATAGAGTTGTATGGTGAGTGGAATACTGATGTGGCAGTCCATGACACTCTGGTAGAGTGTCATGCACTGGAGATGCCCTAATGTTTAAAAGTAAAATAAAATCTAAATCATTTTTATCATTTACGGACTATTCATCATTCAAACCTTTCATAACTAACATCATTCACGTTTCAATGCAACTCTTTTAAAGATTCTAACTTTTACTTTTTATTCAAAAAATATAAAAAATCTTTTAAAGATGCAATTATCTATTCCTTATTAAGGGATGTTTAGAGGCGGTTTGGCAGTTGCTGAATGGTTTTGTACAGAATGGTTAAGTGATCATAATGGTTAAGAGAGTCAGAATGGTTAAGTGCTGAATGAAATATGGTTGTTTGGTAAATATTCATTGAATGACAACAAATTACCATTTTAACCTTCTTCTCATTGCCTCTACTCTTTCCAAATATCAGGCACAACTCATCATAATAAGGATACGAAAATCGATTCAACAGATACCAAAATGATATCAAAATGGCTTGATTCAACATATACCAAAATGATTAGCTCATAACTTGAATCCACCAACGATCAAATCAATTACCTCATTCAAACAGCCCTAAGTTCATCGACATTGTTACTGCAGAGAGAAGGAAAAAGGAGACAGAAGGGAAATACCTGAAATCGAGTGGGAGACGATGTAGAAGACAACAGAGACGATGGAGGGGGGAAGACGGCGACTGGAACCGGCGATGGAGGGGGGGAAGACGGCGATTGGAACCGACGATGGGAGGGGAGAAGACGGCTACTGGAACCGGCGAATGGAGGGGGATGCGATGTGAAGAACGGCTTGAGTGGGCAGAGTTGGAAAAATGAACATCTGAATGGTTTAGTGAAGGTCTAGGTGCAAAATGGTTAAGAGGTTAATGTGACCATTAAGAGCTTGTTTTTTGTGCCAAACAGCCTTGACCTCTTACCGATTAAGAGGTTGGCTCTTAATGTAACCATTAAGAGCCAAACAAACAGCCCCTTATTTAAAGTGCTTATTAACTTATTTCGATGTGGTATCGGTAACGAGGAGTTTTTAGTGTTTGGACAAGAAAAAAGAAATGTTTATACCGGTTTGGCACCGGTAATAAAAAGTTTTTAATAAGTTATTCTCTTTTAACTTATTAACTTATTCGAATGTGGTATCTGTAATAAAGAGTTTTTAGTGTTTAGAGGTGAAAAAAAGGTATTTCATCTATTTTATTAGGTTATCCAAACACTTTTTATAAAACTCTAATTTACTACCATATAAGTTGATAAACACTTTAAAAAAAATATATTCCAAACACCCCCAAAAACGTCAAAGGAAGTTCGAAGAGATCAATTGTGATCAAATTACATTAAATTGATCAAAATTATAGTGTTCCTTTTTACACAACAATCATCATCCTCAATCAAAACCAACATGACTTCGATCGATTTCTCTACAAAAAAACAGACCATCATCATCATCATCATCTAGTAAACAAGTTGGGGATCCATCTCTGCGATGTCCACCGATCCCGATTCAATCGGTTTCATAAGGTACGCAGCCAACAGCTCCGAAACCAGGGCCGCAATATGCGGAATTCTCTTCAAGTTCTTCACCAGCGGGATGTCGTCTGTTTCCCCGATTGCCAGTATTTTCGAATTGATCTCAGCCATTCTGTCCAACTTCCTCTTGAACTCGGGATTCTCTACGTCCAACACGGCCGGGAAGATCCTAGCTGTCGTGCGGTTCGTCTGAAATAGCACCATAACCACATAGTAAGACTATAAGATTGTTTATTAAACACTTCCTGCCTCTTAGTGGGTTACTACACTTACCGGGTAAGAGACATTTACCCAGTCAAAGATGTTGGTGTTTATCAACAATCTTACAGTACCATTTTGCTCACTAAGAATCTTACTCGGTAAGTGCTTACCCAATAAACGTCAGTAAACGACCCCTAATCATGTGGGATGAACACAAATTTCATGTCCAGAAACTATATGTCCACTTCCTGTCCCACTAAGCTACTACCAAACATTATCTATAGCTGACAGAATAAGCTTTGAGTTCCATTAAGCTCATTAAGCTGCTAATAAACAAACCTAAGTCGTGTATGGATAAATATATCTATGTAAGATTAATCTATCTGTATAGATTGAGAAGGTTTTTGTGTGGGAGGGCTTTTTCATAGATAGGAGCGCGTTTTTTAATTGGGAGGGGTGTGTTCGGAAAAAACTTGACTTACTCCATAGAGCTCCCTTGAATAAGCCACTTTTTATACTATTAAACCACTACCACACAGTTATGTATAACTAACCGAATAAGTGAGTCCCATTAAACTGCTAACAAACAGGCCCTTAGACCCTTCTACTTCAATATAGGTTGGAACGCTCTTCTCTCCTTAAAACACTTAAGTAATCTAACTGCCTTCGACATATTTCAGATCTTCATCACATTTAGCATGCACACAAAAAATGTGATATGTGGGCATGTATTTCAAGTATCAATATTACAAAAAGTGTGTGGCGAAGACAAAAAACCTCGATGATAACGTGCATGTCGAACTCCTTCGTGTTCAACCCAATGCCTTCATAGAAAGCAGTTCTTTGGGTGTCGTTGAGATACATGGTAACGTACACCTACAACCGCATACAAAATCAACAACAAAACCATTTTCAGAACGTAAAAGAACCAATAAATCAAGGAAAAAAGAGGACATACCGATAAACAGAAGAATCGAGCCCAAAGCTTAGCCTTCCAATCATTGAGGAATTGCGGCTGCGCCTTCATGAGCGCCGAGAAGAAATCACCATGTCTGTTTTCATCCTGGCACCAGTTCTCAAAATACTTGAAAATGGGGTACACTTGGTACTCGGGATTCGCCTTTAGATGCCTGTAAATCGTTATGTATCTCCAGTATCCGATCTTTTCGGAGAGATATGTTGCATAAAATATGAATTTTGGTTTGAAGAAGGTGTATTTTCTGGCTTTTGTTAAGAATCCCAAGTCCAATGCCAAGTTGAAATCAGACAATCCCTTGTTCAGAAATCTGTACCAATTTAAACAGGATTAAATCGTTGTTTGGTCGGTCTAAATCCGAATCTTTGTATGTGGGTGTGACGGTCCTTGGTGTTTTATTCATGTATACGTACCCGGCATGGCGTGCTTCGTCCCTGGACATAAGGGAGAAAATCTCGGCAACCACTGGATTCGTTTTCTGCATATTTAACAAACACTTGTTCGTTAGTCTTAGGACCATTCTTTTAGATGGAATGAGTGTGTTTTTTGATTAGGAGGACATGTTTTGGCTTTGTATGTAAAACTCCCCCTAGAAACTTACTGAATAAGCCATGCATTTTCTGCATCATTAGGCCTCTACCAAACAATCAGCTGACTGAATAAGTTATGAGTCTTGATATATGTTGAAATCTCTTTAAGGGCTAAGTAATCCAATGGAATGGGGTTTCACGAGCCAAGTCTACAACTCTAAGGGACTCGATACCCTTGGGCATTTGTATCCGTCTAGATTGACATAAAGTTCAAATTTATATAAATATGATAGCATAGATAATTAGATACCAATTGAGCCAAAAGTCTTTGGTCCATTATGGTCAACATTAGTCTTTGAACCTACAACTATGGGAATGAAACTATCAAACAAGTATTTAGCTTTAAATTTTGACTTTTTGGGTCAAACTCAGTGCTGTTCAAAACAAAAATTCATATCGATTTTGATCCTATTTGCATCTCCTACTTTTGGTAATTCATACTATAATTCTATATCTCAATGCAATTATCAAATTTTCTAGAAAAGAGATTAAAAACAAAAAATTCAAGTTAAAGAAGTAGGGATTTGACTTGAAAAGTCAAAATAAGTACCTTCAGTCTTCGACCAAGCTCCTTGTAGAGAAGAAACCCAGAAAACTCAGCAGTACAAGATCTCTCCAAAAACTCAACAAAAATCTGCCGGAGAGGACCCTGCATCTCGTCGGCGGCTTCCTTGAATTCCTTATTCCTAACGAAATGTGTCTGGTTGTAATCCGTCTTGAATTCCTGCAACAACGCCTCGAATTCAGCTTCGTTCAAGTTCTTGTTCATCTGGGTGTTGAATAGCTGCTCCATTTCGTCGAAATCCGTCGTGTAGAAGCGTGGAGCCAAAAGGGTTTCCTTAATTCCCTTCTTGTTCTTTCCGCCTCCGCCTCCTTTGGTGGCGGTGGTGGTGGCTGCTGACATTCGAATGATGGTGGAGACTCTTTGAGGAAGGATTGTTCTGGTGGTGGTGCCATAATATCCGATTTTGGAGATGGGTTTCAGCAATCCCATCATCTCTGTTGCCATGATTATGCTTTTGGTTCGAAGTTGATGTTACTATGGTGGTGGGATGGAATTGAATCTGTATATAATGAAATTTGGGGGAAATCTGTAATCTCATCCAATGAAATCCAGGATCATGAATGGAAAATTGACACGTTGGCGGGTTAAAGGTGGAGATGATTGCATTTGGCTCTAAATTTTCTACTCTTATATTTTGCGGCTGAAATATTTATGGCCTTTCATTTTTATTTCTTGCCAAAATAAACAACTTTTTATTAATTTATTTATTATTATTCTAAATTATTCCATCACTCTTAAAATATGGTTTTATCTTCTTTATTTGTCTTAAAATAAATGTCCAGTTTTAAAAGTAAATAACTGAATTCTCAATATTACCTTTAATTAATGTACATATATTAGAGAAATTAAATAAGGGTAAAGATTTTATTTGGTTAACCAAAAAGTGTAATAATTATGCATGTCTAAACTGTGTATCATTTCAATTGTGGACGTTTAATTTGGAACGAAAGGAGTACATATTTTGTCATGTAGCTACATGTTTGCAATGGTCGTTGTTTCTTTTTCGAAAATTCAAAATATGTCTTTATAGTTCCGTTTTTTAACAAGTTATATCTATGTGATTGCATTTTTCAAAGGAATAAAATCTTTGTGGTTGTAGATTTTAATGAGTCCGCTCCTTAAATAAATCAACCACTTGGTTCTTGATCATTATAAAAATACAACCATGAGGACATAAGTTGAATTTTAAAAAGAAAAAAAAAGACAAAGGAACCTTAAAAACTTAATTAAGTAAATTACACTTTTTGGTCCCTCTACTTGTTACTTAGTATCAAGTTTTGTTTCTATTTTTAAAATAGTTAACTTTTGGTCCCTCTAATTAAATTCTATTGGAAATGTATGTTAACTCGGGGGCTTTTTGGTCATCCCCCTTTTTTAACTTTTAACTAAACTAGTGTTTTAACCGTGCGTTGCGTGGTAGTGTAATACCATTTTCAAAAGGATTGTTATAGACTAAAATTTAAAATCCATTTTTAAAAAAATTAGGCAAATGTGTGTGACAACTATTCATTAATATTAAAAGTTTTTAAGAGAAGTTGTGTTGGGTTCAAGTATGTGCGTTATTGTTGTATTCAAGTTCTTCTTTTATAATGCTTTGTAATAGTTAGGCTTTATTGTATTCCTTAGTATAAATAGAGGTTAATTTCTTAATCGTAATTAGTTCTGCAATTAATCTGATTAGAGCATTAATCTTTGTAAGAAAAATTCTCTCAAGAAATACATTGAGGATGGGTGAAAATTCTCTCTACTCATATTCTTGATCTTCATCTTGAAGATTGTTTTCTAAAATTGTATGATTTGGACATTTCAATTGGTATCAGAGCTATCTGTAGCAATTTGTTTAGAGGATTAAACAAAAATTTCGAGGATTTTGCATCGATTTTTTGGGGATTTAACAATATGTTCATCGTGTTCTTCGATTTGTTCTTGGTGTTCTTCATCCATAATCGCATTTTTTGGCTTGAATCGCATAGATTTGGATCGTTAATTGATATAATTGATACTACTGAATTCGCAATTACATTCTGAACAATTTTGATTCACATCATTTTCGATTTTAATCAAGATTTGAACCATTTTTGATCGATTTTTGAGTTTTCCGAAATCTGTTTGTGTTCTTCAAAAACTCATATTTTTGCAAGTTTTGATCCATTTTTTTGGTGAAAAAGTGTTAAAAATTGTGTTTTTGCTTGAATCATAGTCTGTATAACTCTTGATCAGATTAAGTGTAAATTGCTTAAAGCTTGTACGATTTAAGTCTTGTGATTTTTGTGAATTGATTTTGTGCGATTTAGGTTAAACCGGGTAAGTCTTGATCGATTTAGAGGTAAATCGCTTGCTTCTTGTTCGATTTAGTGAGCGAGTTAGTTTAATCCGCCTGGTAAATCGTTTATGTGTTGTGCGATTTAGTCTATGAATTGTGTGATTTATTCATAATCCGGTTGTTACCTGAGCGATATTATTGTGCGATTTAGTTTGTGCGATTTAATTGTTCGTATTTTGACTTCGTGAACAGTTTGTTGAACGATCTTTGACTTTCCTTTGTGAGCGACTTAGTTCATGTTGTGAGCGATTTAGTTCATAGTGTGAGCGATTTAGTTCATATATTGAGCGATTTGAATTGTTTGGTTATTTTGAGCAATTTGAATTTGAGCGGATTTGTATGTATTTTGACTTGTTGATTTAGTTGACTTGAATTGTTGACTTTTTACGTCCGTATTCATTTTTGCAAATTTGACTAAGTGTTTGAATCATCCGATTTGAGATTTCTTATTTGTGTGAAAATTGACTAAGTGTTGGAATTCACTGGATTTCTCATCTGGATTTGTTGTTCATTGTGCGATTTAACTTCCTTTGTTGTCCGGATATCTAATCTGGAAACTTGTTTTGGTTAGAATTTCAAGACTATCTCTTTGTCCGGACTTCTAATCCGGATAAGCTTGACCGGATTTCTAATCCGGATAAGTTTGTGTGCTTATATTTTCTAAGTCTTGACTGTGTGCAAATCCTTGTATGCGATTTAATTGAAATATTTTTTTGAATCTTAATCCTTTAATACAAATTTTGAACTGCAATTGATCCTATAGCATACATATCTGAGAAAATGAGTTCAAGAGAGGCAATGACTATTGGTACTGACACCAAGCCACTTGTGCTGTTTAGAGGAGACTATAACCAATGGAGGGATAGATTCCTCAACTTCATTGAAAGAATGAGAGAAGGTGATCTGATAATGGAATCCTTGATGGAAGGTCCCGCTGTTTTCTATAGAGAGACACCTGCTGTTCCAGAAGAAGGCAGACCTGCGCAAAGAGTCATTAAAGAAAAATTCAGATATACTGCGGAAGAGAAGGAGAGAGCCCATGCTGATGTGCTATGCAAATCTTACATGATACAAGCACTGCCCAACGATATCTACACCAGTATTGACAGCCATAAATTATCTGGTCACAACATGTGGGTTCAAATTGAAAAGATGATGATGGGTTCCAAAGTTGGAACTCAGTTAAAGATCACTAATTATATATCTGCATATGAAGAATTCAAGGCTAAAGACAGAGAGAGCCTTGACGATGTTTATGATAGGCTTACCAGACTGCTTAATGAGCTGACTAAGAACGAAATCTCTAAAACTGTCATAGAGATAAATGTTAAATTCCTCAGCAACCTACAACCAGAGTGGAAACCTTATGCTAATAATATCAGATTCAACAAATCGTTATCTGATATTGACATACATGAGGTTTATGAAACTCTAAAGCAGAACGAGGAAGAAGTTTTGGAGGTCCGAGATTCTAAAAAGAAGAAGGAAAAGGAAGTTGCTGATCCTTTAGCCTTTGTGTCTGAGAAGAAAGGAAAAAGCACATATGGGAAGCAAGTTAATAAGATCAACCAGTCAAGCGAATCAGCAAGTGAAGAAAGTAACAGCTCGGATTCAGGCTCTGAAATGACTGAAATCAAACATGCCATGACGATGCTAACAAAAGCATTCCAAAAGAAGTTTCAGAAACGACCGCACTCCAACAATCAAAGATTCTCGTCCGGCTCAAAATACGAATTTAAAGATAAATTCGGTGAGAAGAAGAAATATGAAGAGAAGATATTTGAGAAGAAGTACGAGAAGAAGCTGGAAGAGAAGAAGAAATTTGTAAAAGGCGTAGCTGATGACTATACAAAGTGTTATAACTGTGGCAAGCTAGGCCATTTTGCTGTAAACTGCAGAAAGCCGGTAACGAGAAATACCGACTATTACAAAAGCAAATTTCTTCTCTCGAAACAAAGAGATACGGGTAAAGCACTTATGGCAGAAGACGATCATTGGTTAAATTTAACCGATGAGGAGGAAGAATCTGAAGCTGTTGCTCATATTTGCTTGATGGCTATAACTGAAAGTTGTTCTTCAGATGAAGGAGAAGGACAGAGTACTGAAGTGGAAGAAGAGGTATTGGAGAAATCATGCATTAAACAGATGCATAAGATGATGCTTAAACTCCAATATTTCCAGCAACAATTAAAAACAGAAAAATTGCGTGCAAATAATTTTGAAAAAGAATTAATAACGCAAAAAGAGAAATACATCAAATTATTTGATGAAAATGCTGGAAACTTGGATTGGGCAAAATCTTTGTTATCTGAATCTAAAACATTTAATGAAAAATCCAATATCTTAAAAGCCGAGCTATCTGATCCCAGATCTCTCAATAACACTAATAATCTAGTTATGAATAACCAAATTATAGTGATTTTATGAAGGAAGTTATGAAGACTCGAGAAGAAAAATAAGTATATTTATGAACAGTCTTGAGCTTCAAAAGTTTAACTTTTATAAACTGAGAAACGTAAGAGCGATTCGTAAAAGCGACTCTTTTTACAATAGATCTAAACACCTATTTATACTAATCAGCTAATAAGAAGATAACTATATAATGCTATTTTCTAGTAAATCCTCTATTAACAGATAAGGCTTATCTTTTGTATGGATAGGCGTTAATACTGAGATAAACTYGAATTCCAGCTGTTGACTTGTCATCTCCAGCTGTCATTCATGACATGATGATTTCATCCTTATCTTCAAATCTTCATTGCATGCTTGGATGAAGTGCTGGAAAATCTTCTAAGTGTTGATGACCAGAGGATCGATGAGAATGCTCTTTCCATCGCATCCTTGGACTGTCCATTGGTCCTCTGGTTGAACTGTTCATCGGTCATCTGGTTGAATTCCAGACTTAGTCGTTTCTGCCTCGATGTCTTCATTGGTCTTCTGGTTCTTCATCACTTATTGTTTTTCATTACTTTTTACATTATGAATTGTGGGGTTTAACAATCTCCCCCTAAGTAATRAAATAACATAGTCTAGTCTAGACACACATAAACTAATCTAGTAGAAAAACATCAAACTCCAAATTTTCATTGGATGATGAAATTTCTTACAATACTTGAATTAAAATACATCAAGGCAAAACTAACAAAAACTTTT